CACTGCTTATTTTTTTGATGTCTAGAACATAAAGACCTTTTTCAAGAGATGTGTTACCTGTGAGCAAGCTGTCTGTCCGTTTAGTGTGGCAACAAAATCAACTTTGTACAAAAACAATTCAGGGCTCCCTGATTTTCCATGGGTGACTTGAAGACTGCCTGTGCATATCTGCTAAGCTTTAGGCAAGGGTCACGTAACACGCTAAGCCAAAAGGCGATGGGTTTGGTTTGGATTTTGGCACAGGCAACTGCAGTCTATGTGTTTATCAACCGTCATTCATGGCTTACTGGTAAAAGATGGTTAAGATTAGCAGGCTTTGTATGGCATGAACACAACCTATACCTCTTCTAAAGAGATGGGAATTTTTAGAAACTAAAATGTCTCCCACCTATTTTTCCTGTTATTTTTTCTCTTAACCACATCCCAAGCTCAGAGTATAGCATTCCTTGACCCTTGTTCTTGAGAGCAGAGAGAGGAGAGATGGGAACAAGCCTGGGAACAGAACACCGGCTTCTACAAACCAAACTCTTACTCTAATCTAAATGTAAATAGAAGTTGTGAGGCAGCAGCAGCTGGAGAAAGAAACTTTAACTATTTCTACCCCACTGTTATCTCAACCAAAATTCCCCTCCTTCCACTTGCTGATGATATTCTTAGCAAAGTTGATGCCGATAACTATTGCAAGTGGTCCCCAGCAGGTGGCAAAACCTTGGCTATCTTGAAAGCTCAGCAGGGTTGGATCTGGTCAGTCCTTGGATGGGAGACTGCTAAGAAATTTCAGGATGTTAGGCTAGGCTGGGTAGTTGAACAGTATTCTAGAAGAAGGCAATGGCAGTTCCATCCTGTTGCTAAAAATCGGCATGGATGTGTCCGTGTAGTCACCAGGAATCAAGACTGACTTGAAGGCAACCATGACGTGTGGTACCATGAGATGTGGTTTTGGCTACCAACTTCTCTGGCTTCAAAAAAGGGTTGGACCAATTCATGGAAGTCATGGGGATCAATGGCTCTTAGCTTGATGGCATGGGACTGCCTCTGAAGGCCATCTGCTGGGAGGCTGGTGGGCTTCCTTGGGCAGTTGGCTGGCCACTGTGAGAACAGACAGCTGGATTAGATGGGCCAGGGGTCTGATCCAGCAGGGCAATACTTATGCTCTTATATTCTAACTTTATCTATTCTAGCTTTATCTTTATTATGGCTGGATGTTCATTTGTGGTATGGAGAGGGGATCCACATAATTCCCACCCTTCAGCCGCTATTTATAGTGGAAGATTACAATGCACATTAATTATCTTCTCATTCTTCACGTCACTTTTCATTTAGCCCACAGTTCCAGCTTCAGTAAAGAACGGTCCAGCCTCTCATTCGAGGCTGCGATCCGTTTCATCTTTCCCTGGAGTTTTGAAATGGATCCTCTTCTTCCCAATTACAGCGATGGTGCTCCTATCTGTAGCCTCTCTGCCTCATTACTTACACGATGGTGATTTTTATCTTTTCCGTACTCGACTGCCAGTTTGGGATTTGTCTTTTTCCTTTCTCAGCCAGGCTCCCTGGCACACTTTTGCAGTTCAGGCATTTTGACAGTCAATAAATGAGATCCATGAATGTGGCCATCTTGAGCTCCTTCCTATAAAAAGCGATGCCTTTGTATCTGCAAAGCAAGGGGAGATGAAGGCCCTTCGCTCTCTTTTATCACCTGCTTTGTGTCCACAGAGCTCAGCAAGAGAGCTTTCAAAGCAAAGTTAATATTCTCAATAGGGCTAAAAATGTTCCCGCCTTTCGCCAAAGTGACAATGGCAGGAGAAGCTATACAACGCCTTGCATTTCACAATGCCAGATTCACGGCCGGTGGTTCATTTTTACTTGGTTAATGGATTGTCCAGTTGCACAAGGACTCCGAGATGGAGCTATTTCTGGAAGTAGGGAGTCTTCCTTTTATTTCTGCCTGGCAATGAATGCATTGCTCCTCTTGGGGGATTGACCCCACACAAAAGAAGCTGAATGGCATTCCCGTTGCAATGGCCGTGCTGCCCTGAGAAGCAGGGGGGCTTTGGGGTGGATGGAGCTCAGCGGCAAGATGGGGCAGTCTGAAAGTCACACAGCAAATGCAAAAGGAAGATGGGAAAGGCGCCTGCCTCCAAGCGCTTTTGGTCTCAGTGCAAACCGGTGGGAGGGATACAAATAAATTTAATGAACATGAGGTGGTGTTGTGGCTTGTACAGGTGCTTGGTTTTAGTTGGGGAATAGAGATGAAGCCAGGGATGAGCAATGGGAAGCCCTCAAGGCTGTGGGAGCATGGATCTCTCCTGGTACCTACCGGACCCCCGTCCCAATTACCCTTTTAAATGATTTCGAAATAAAAACGTGGCTATTTTTTTGTCAAGCACAGCATGGTCATGCGCGGCAATGCACTTGGGCTTCATAAAAGTCTCAGTGGAGAACATGAGCTGCCCAGAATGGTTGAGAGTTTGAGAGTTGAGCTGGGCAGCATACAAGATGATGATGATGATGATGACGATGATGATGATGATGATGACGATGATGATGATGATTTGGAGGGCTACTTTACTTTCTTGCAAAAGGGTGCTTAAGGACGGGCCATGTCCACCAGGATAGCCATTTGGTCTAGTGGTAAAGGCTAAAAAGCAGGAGACGGTGAGTTCTAGTCCTGCCTTAGGCATAAAAGCCGGCTGGGTGACTGGGCTAGTCCCTCTGTCTCAGCCCAGCCCACCTCACAGGGTTATTGTAGTGGGGAAAATAGGAGAAGGAAGGAGTATTAGGTATGTTTGCCACCTTGAGTTATTTATAAAAACAATAAAGGCGGGATTAAAAAAAAGTTCTGTTTTTTTTTTTTAAGTTCTCTCCCATGAGAACCATTTTGTGATTGTGCCCCCCACTCTGCTCTCAGGAGGGCATATTTTCCAGTCCAACAAGGTTGCTATGTTTGTTTAGTTTAAGCCCAAATTTCCAGGGGGTGGAGGCAGAAGAGAAATGGAGACACATTGAAAGCTGTTGGACAGCCAATAGGGTATAGCAGTTAAAGGGGTTGGATGAGGGCTGTGGAGATCCAGCTTTGTGTTTATCCTCAGACACAGAAAATCACAGGGTGACTTTGGGTCAGCCTAACTCACTACTTTAGATGGATAAAATGAAGGGAGATTACCGTATGAGGCTCTTGGGAAAAATAATAAGAGGAAGGGAAGGGAAGGGAAGGGAAGGGAAGGGAAGGGAAGGGAAGGGAAGGGAAGGGGGGGGAGGGGAGGGGAAGGGAAGGAGGCTCTGCAGAGATTGTCTGAGAAGCCATGTAAGATAGAAGGGGCTTCTGGTACTTGGACTTTGGGTCAGCCTAACTCACTACTTTAGATGGATAAAATGAAGGGAGATTACCGTATGAGGCTCTTGGGAAAAATAATAAGAGGAAGGGAAGGGAAGGGAAGGGAAGGGAAGGGAAGGGAAGGGAAGGGAAGGGAAGGAGGCTCTGCAGAGATTGTCTGAGAAGCCATGTAAGATAGAAGGGGCTTCTGGTACTTGGACCATGCAGATACAGGTGGTCCTCGTTTAGTGAACAGAATTGGGATTGGCAACTCGGTTGTTTAGTGAAATGGTTGCTAAGTGAAACCACGGCTGTGCTTATGATCTGACTTCAGCTTTCCTTTACTTTACAGACCTGCAAAGGTTGTAAATGTGAGGATTGGTTGCAAAGTTACTTTTTCATCACCGTTGTAACTGCAAATGGTTGCTAAACGAGGACTACCTGTATACATAGAGAGCAGAACTGCAATGACTCAGGGGTCAAAAAAGTCTAGATGGTGGCCACCACCATGTGATTGAAGACCCACTAACTTTTTTGCGTGCATCGTGACACATGTAAACAAAGGGCAGAGCTTTGATCACATGGTGGTGACCGCCATCTTGACTTTGATCACTTCCTACCATGACTTATTCCTAGCCCTTATTTTGCTGCAGTTGGCTCAGGGTTCTGGTTTGTTTTCTGCTAAGAATGGGAAATCAGGAACTGGTTGTTCTTTGACGAAAGGGCCCCCTGAATCTCTTGACTGTAGACACAGAAAACATTGCATTCCTGAAAGGCATTGCATCCTTGGTTTTTTGTTTTTTTTTAATATCCATATGTTACACACACACACATTTGTAACAGTCCAGCCACAGTGAATCCATTAATTTGAAAGAAAGAGATTTCAGCTGTATTTGTATTGCTAGGTTAGTCAAACCTATTGTCTACATTAAGTTTGATTAATGTTAACCTTGTTTCTTTTATTGTGTGTGTAATGGTGGGTATTACCTTGGGAGACAGGGGGAAGAGCCACAGCCGATGGTCAGATAAGAGGCAGCTGAGTCTGCAGAAGGAATGGGGGTCTTGCAAACGTCTCAGAAGGGATCCTCCCTAGTTTCTTGCAAGAGGGGAGAGATGTACTTTCAGACTTGCAAGATTCTGTGAATGTAACCTTACAACAAAGATAGAGCTAGAACTCTTGGGTGTGCTTCTTGGTTGGACTACCTCACAAGGCTGACAGGGTATGTGTGTGTGCGTGTGTGTGCACGCACATTGTGCAAACTGCAAGCTTAATTAATTTATAGTTCACATCCTGAGCATGGATTAATTCATTAACCCATGTTCGATGTGGAATGCAACCGTGGTCTTACAATACAGTCCTATAGATGCCTATTCAGAAGGAGGTCTCATTCAACTCAGTGGGACCTAGTCCCACATAGGAATGTAGAGCAGAGGTGCACAGTTTGGGAGGCCCAGAAGTAATGAGTGGGATCACTATATAATGACTTGATGGCACATAATCAATCAATCAATCAATCAGCTTGGTCTAATAGAACGAGAGCTGGCTTTAGTGATGTTTGGAGGAATTAGTTTAAGACAAGATGTAAAAAAAAAAAAAAAGGAGACTCAAAT